ATCATATTTAGTGTATGTTCATCATTAGAAATTAAGATAAAAATAGTGTGAAGCGTTGAAAGTATTTTATTTGCTTAAAAATGTTATTTATTAAAGAAGACAAACGAGGAAGAACATCATGAATCTAGTATCAAATCTAGAACGAGTGTTTGCAAGTGAAGAATGCAATGCAAATGTTGTTTTCAAACGAGTGGAAGAAGGTAAATATATATAAGTTAGTTGATTTCATGAAAGTCATACACATGCACTTGTTTCACTTAGGGGTGTCAATAGGATATAGAGTGTGCGGAGAATACTTCCCCACTCCTCGCCTAACTCCCCATTGTGTTTTTCATCTCCATTCCCAATGTCTACCACGAGAAAATATTTTTCCCCATCCTCACCCCCACAAATCTCTATAGAAAATCAGAGATCCCAGAGATCTAATCTTAACAAAATTTATATAATTTTTTATTAAAACTACAACACTAGTATTTCATTTTTTTCTTTAAAAAATTATATTTTGCATCTTTTAAAAAAACACATCTTATATTAATAACAAAAAAAATGAAAAAATACTCCACTTACGAAAACATAACCACTAATTTACTAATTGAATGAAAAATAAGTTACTAATTGAAGTATAGTGAAGTCGAAAAGTAAATATCATAAGCACAATGGACAAAGGAGAATGATTATTGTGATGATGATGAGAACAATGAAGATGAGGAACGGAGGAGACAAAGAAGAAGTGAAAACTGTGTGTACATTGTATGTAATGGGTGCACTTTTTAAGGTTGAGTATTTGAGTAGTGAAACAATACATTATACAATGAAATAAAAAAAATAAAATGATCCATTAATAACTTTTCGTTTCCTAATATATTAATTATTTTTTTAAATAAAAAAACATGAAAAATCGTATAACTATATATTATATATAAAAGTTAAATAATATGGTCGGGATCAGGGAACTTTTTCCTCCATCTTCATCCTCAATCCTTATATGAGAAAAAAATCTCTGACTTCAGACCTCCAAACAGATAATTCCCACGGAGATACTTGTTAACAGATGCAAATTGATATCCCTAATTTCACCTATGAAGATACCATTTCTAAGATCTACAAGAAAATTGATTGCAATTCACATGACTTAATTACATGCATATAGTAAGTAAAATATTGGAACTTCAAAAACTTTCCATTTATTAAAAGAATAATTTGGGGGTTATCCTTCAAAATTATTTGAGAGATTTAAAGACTTTGATCAAAGATTCTGAAGCACATGCTTTTAATAACTTTAGGAGGAAGCAATAATTTAATTCATCATTTTATTATGCGTACGAGGTAGATGATGAAGGTCAGCTAAAACATATTTTTTTGGGCAGATGATATTTGTGAGAAAAATTATTGTGTTGGGATGTGATTTCATTTGATACTGCATATCAAACAAATAAATATTCTATGATTTTGTAACATATATTAGGATAAAACATCATAGACAATATATAACTTTTGGAGCAGGATTTTAAGTTAACTAGAAACTTGATTCATTCATATGGGTGTTACAGAAGTTTTTGGAAGCAATGGGATAAAAATGCAACTGATCAAGATCCTACCATGAAGGTGGCTATAGAAAATATTTTTACTACATCTATTCATAGATTTTGCATGTAGCACATAATGAAAAAAATTTATAAAAAAATAAGTGGTTTTATGAATGCTAGTGAAGAGTTAAACACAAGTCTCAAGTCATGTGTTTGGGTATCAGAGACACCAAATGAATTTGGTTCTCACGACCATTTTCTTTTTCTTAAGGGTTTTATCGATATTTTCTATTTCCTTTGAAATGAATAAAGTTTGGTGGAGACTTTCTTGTATTTAGAGTGTGCAATACGCTTGGGTGTTTTTTTGCACTGTGACACGATACAGTGATATGCAATGTTAAGAGTCCAACACTCAAGTCAGTATGTGAGGAAGAAAAGGGATGGAAATTGAATTTAAAATTGTGTACCTAAGTTATTCATCCATATTCTTTATATAGTGAGGAGGTTATAACAACCTACTATTTTCTAGGAGTTGATGCAGAGAGTCATTGGATGTATCTGAGTCTTGGATCCATTGTATTCTTCTATAGGGTAGCTCTCCTATGTTGAGAAGGTTCTAGACGAATCACAAGTCCTTCTAAATGGTCCTCCGTTGAAAATTATGGTTGGCCTAGAATATTTGCCCCTAAGCCCTTGTTTTTGTATGGTAGAGAAAGGGTTCATCATATTTGCCTCGCCTATCGATCACTCTTTCAACTGCTTCTGGAAATTCAAGAGGAGACGTTACTATTCCTTGGGAATTCACGCTTTTAATGTGTCCCACTCTTTAAATATATTTTCGAAGGTACCCTCATAATGACCCTTGTGAACTAAAAATGTGGAATCTTGCGTATATGTGATTTGAAACATTGATAGGTAATAGACCCTCATTATGTCGTTACACTATCTTTGAAGAGTCAGTTTCCCATTTTCTCTGAGGTGACTTTCTGTCATTATTGTTATTTCCTTTCTTTCCATGTGCTTTGGAGAAAATAGTATCCATCATGTTTTAAAACTCGAAAAATAATATGTTCGTGCTTCTTGGGAGTACCTTGTTTATTCTTCAACTATTTCTATTT